CTTGTAGAAGCAAGCTGATACACATACGGAAAAAGCTCACTCAGAAAACCTCAGGAACAGTGAGGAACAGTCACAGGAGTGGAGCCTGGCGATCTTCTGAAGAGATGGAACAGGTCGGAACACTTAGAAAGCAGCAAAGCCCCAGTCCTGTCTGCCGGTGGGCTGAAGGCGCTGCTGAAGACAGAAAGCAGGAGAGGCCTCCCGGAGGTCAGGAGGGGCGGGGCCCGGCTGGCAGGTGGAGGAGAAGGAAGAGGAACGAGGGGGTTAGGAGGGATCCATGGGAAAGTGAGAGGAGTGGATCTTCCAGGGGGCAGCGGTGAGAGCCGTTCCACTGGGCAAAAGATCCCGAGCGCTGGACTCACCCACAGCTCCAGCGCCTCCCAGCAGTTAGAACGGTTACCCTCCCGTGAGGCTCAGCGCCTACGCGTGGAGCACCCGAGCCAGAAAGGGGAGGGATCTGGGTATCGGTGGGATAGAGGGAAGAACCAGGGGGCACGGCCAGGCTGAACGTGTTAGGAATAGGGGGTCAGCCTGCAGACAGCAAACACGTTGACTAGGAGAAGTAGCGATCTTGAGGACATAGCGGCTAAGCTAGCGACAGGCACCAACGACCTATCACTGAGACTACCCTTCTCCTCCCCCTCACATATCCACCTACCCCATCTCACCCCCCAAACCCCCAGTAAGGCAAAATTCTTCATCACAAGAAGCTCAGAATCGGAGGTGAGGGGTGGGGCTGAATGAAAACAAAAATAGAAATTCAGCAGAGCCCCACCTGGGCTCTGAAATCTATATTTACATATCCAACTGCTTATTTAATGTCTCCACTTGCATATCTGATGAGTATCTCAAACTTAAAAACTTAAAATATCCAAAACCAGACCACTGACACCCTCTTAAAGGAACCTTCTTCTTTCCCCATCTCACTGTCTTCCCCATCTCAGTAAATGGCAATTCCATTTTTTCCATGCGCTCAGATCAAAACCTTGGAATCACTTTTGATTTCTCTTCCTCTCTCTCCCTCCCCTCCCCACATCACGGGTCTCACCCTTCAGCAAATTCTGCTGGCGGTAGCTTGAAAATATATCCAGAATCCTACTACTTCCCACCACTTTAAGCACTACGACCTCGGTCTAAGCCACCATCACCTCTCACCTGGATTATTCCATAGCTTTCTAACTGGTCTCTCTGCTTCTGTGCTTGACCTGACAATTTGCTCTTTTCAGAGCAGCCAGTGACCCTTTTCGAACATAGGCAGATTCTATCACTCTGCACAAAACTCACCAGTGTCGCCTTGTGTCGCCTTGTGTCATTCCATCGGGTGAAAGCCAAAGTTCTCTGATGGCTTACAAATTGCTATCTGTTGTACTCTCTTCCATTCACACAACGCCTGCTGAGCCTGAATCACACCAAGCATGCTCCCACCTCAGAGCCTACAATACCTCTCTCATTGTGTATCAGTTAGGAGACAGACAAGTTTTCTGTGGCTGGGTAACAAATTACCACAAACTAAACAGCTTAAAAACATTCATTTAGTATCTTACAGTGCTGTAGATTGAAATCCTGCATAGCTTAACTGGGTTCTTTGCTCAGGGTATCATAATCCGGAAATCTAGGAGCTAGCTAATCCTGAAATCAGAGTTGCCTGGGCTGAGTTCTTGTCTGGAGGCTCTGGGGGAAAATCCTCTTCTGTTTTCCTCTTCCGAGCTCATACCTGTTGACAGGATTCAGTTCCTTGTGGTTGTGGTTCCTTCCTGGCCGTCAACCAGGGGCCACTCTCAAGTCCTAGAGGCCACAGCCTCTCTTGCTATGTGGCCCCTCTGTCTTTCGGCCAGCAACGGTTCTTCAAACGCTTCTCATGCTTTGCATCTTTCTGATGTTCTCTTCCGCAACCAGCCAGAGGAAACTTACTGCTCTTCAAAAGTTCATGTGATTCGGTCAGGCCCACCAGATAATCCCCGTCTTACAGTAAGTATGCCATATAAAATAACCTAATTACATAAATAAAACCTATCATATTCACAGTCCTAGAGATAATGCAGGGTATGTAGACAGGGGTTGGGAAATCTTGGGGACCATCTTAAAATTCTTCCTACCACACATATACTGTAATAACAAAAAGACCAAAAAGATATATACACACACACACACACACACACACACACACACATATATATATAAAATACACACACACACAATGACTTAAACATGGTTGAAGTTCGTTTATTTTTTTCTATCTCATTACTGTATAAGTATAATCACTCCAGGAGTAATATGTCAGCCTTTTAGTTTTTCTGCCTTCTCTAAGGAAGTGGTCCTGGTCTTCAAGGTCCAAGAGAGTTTACCACCATATCTCCTAGGCCTCACCCCAACTAGTGAGTTGGGTAAAAGAGAAAGGGAAAACATACCTTTACTTTTAAGGGCACAATATGACAATGCACATATCACTCAATTACACAGACACACCTGGCTTCGAGGAAGGCTGCAAAATCTAATCTTTATTTTCAGTGGCCATGTGCCTAGATAAAAGTCAGGGGTCCTATTAGTAAATAAAGAAGGGAACAATGGATACTGGGGAACTAGAGGCTTAAAACCACAGTGAACATTCTTCATCCCAATGTACACATGGCTTACTCCCTCCTTTCGTCTCTGCTCAGAGACCTTATGAATGAGTTCTCTGACCACCCAATATAAAACAGCAACACTCTTCCTGCCTACCTTATCATTCTTACCCTGCATTATTTTTCCTGATAGCACTTATTACCATCTCATATAAGTATTAACTTAATTGCCTATTGTCCATTTCCCCTGACTAGAAATATAAGCACCGTGGTGGCACACTCTGGTGGCTCTCTGTTCTCTCCCCTTCCCCTGTGCTAGGCACCATGAGTAGAGGATCAGAGAATATTTGTGGAACAATTGCTTAAATGTATAGCAATCTTTCTTACTGAGGAAGAGGATAGATTCGAGTCAGACTGCCTGGATTGAACACCTGACTTCACCACTTACTAGTTGTGGGGTATTTTACCTGTTCCTTTTTTTTTTTTTTTTTTTTGGTAAAATGAAAATAATATTAGTGTCTACCTTGTAGGGTTGTTGTGAGGATTAAATGAGTTAATGCACATAAAATGTCCAGAATAGAGCCTGGTGGATAATAAGCACTTGATATAATTGATATGTGTTAGCTATGTGTTTTTGTTTTGTTCATGACACTCTACAAAGTGCTGTTGACATAATGGTGAACAAGCCACAATAGGGTTCAGTGATGGCATAAATAAGGGCATGGGCAGCCCTTCCTGGAAAGGACAAAGAAGAGTCACAGAGTCACAATAGGCTTTAAAGTTTAAGGCCTTAAAATAAGATTTCCAGACAGATAAGGACAGAAGGGAATTCTGTTCAGTAACCTCTACCGAGTCCGCAACACTGCCTAAAAATCTAATTGTTTCTTTTTTTGTCAGTTCACTCTGCCATTCTGTGCAAAGACTATTTCAAACCTCCTGTACTCTCTCATCTTCTGTTTACTTTTCCTTTACTTTCTGGTAATTCCACCTATTTAAAAAAATAGATGCTATATCAATCAATATTCTCCAGAGAAATAAAATCAATAGGATACAGGTATATACACATAAAAAAAAATTTATTTTAAGGAATTTTCTCACAAAATTGTTTGGGGCTGGCAAGTTCAAAATCTGTATGGTAAGTCAGGATGCTAGAAACTCACGCAGAGGTTAATGCCTCAGTCTTGAGGCAGAACTTCTTCTCAGGGAAATCTCAGATTTTGCTCATGAGGCCTTCAACTGATTGGATGAAGTCCACCCACTTTATTAAGGGTAACTTCTTTTATTAAAGTCAACTAATCATAGATGTTAACCACATCTATAAAATACCTTCACAGCAATACCTAGTGTTTGATTAAATAATGGGGTACTGTAACCTAGACAAGTTGACACACAAAACTGTCACACTTGCTATTTAAAAGGAACTCTCTCAATCTCCCAAAATCAAATTAAAATTACTTAGATCTGCTTCCTTCCATTTCTCCCTCCTTCCTGTTACCAATGAAAGGTGCTCCTTCTCTCTCTAAAGCCAAGCTCTAGACCTTTGCTCTGGACTATTCTCTCTTGCCTTCATTTACCCAACAGCTATTTATTGAGCATCAATTGTGATGGACACTATTTTAGGTGGCTTTATTAGTGTACAAAATGATAACATTGACAGAAACTGATTCATGGAGCTTACATTCTAGTGCAGAGCAAAAATAAGAAACAGAATGAGTAAATGATATATGTAACAGTATATGTAACTATGTAACATATGGCAGAAAAACAGCAGAGGTTAAGTACAGATGCACATCTGTCTCTTTTAATAAAAAGTCCTCCTTTTGTTATGTGGACAGTAGGTTGAGCTGGGAGGAGACCGGAAGATGTTCATTCAACAAATATTTATCAAGCACTTATCATGTGATAAGAATGCAATGGTGAACAATACAGATATGGACTTTGACCTCATGACCAAATGTTAGAAGTGCTATATGCCAAAAACATGAGGAATTATGGGAGCTGGAGTCTGGAAAGGGTTGTTTGAGGAGTATTTGAACTAAGTACTCAAGAATGAGTAGTTCAGTAGGTAGAGGGAAAGCATTGCAAGCCAGGAAACAGCAGGTACAAAGGCCTTGAGATGGAAGAGTATGGGAGGTTAGAGGGATCAAAAGGCCAGTGCGGTTAGAGAAGAGAGAGGGAGAGAGTGAGGTGTGGCTCAGCTCAATTTAACAAACAGCATCGACAGTCCAGTGTTTGAAGCATTGGTAAGATAAAGCGGAGTTAGGCAAGAGCTAGCTCATGCAGGGCCTTGTAAGTCATGTGTAGGATGTCAGTTTTTATCCTAAAAATGGGAAACCACTGCAAAGTTTTAAGCATCAGTTTGTGTTTTCTGGCTTTGAATGGTGAGCAGATTGGAGTGCAAAGTTAGATATGGGAAGCAGCAGCCATTACAATAATGCTGGTGGGAGATTGTGAAAATGGAAACGGACAGAATCAAGGGACATTTAGAAATGTAAGCTGATAGGATCTGGCAGTTGAGCAAAGGGATGAGTGAGGTTTCTAGCTTCTACAATTGGGTATTTTCTTCCAGGCACAGGAGGAAAGTTTATGAGGAAACATGTTGAGTTGGGGATGTTTTTGAGACACCTGGGTGGAGATGCCAATCTCAGACATCTGGAAGTCATCAGTAACCAAATCTTGGAGTGGGGATGAAACAATCCTAGAAAAAAATAGACTGAGAAAGAACAAGACCTAGAGAAACTTTTAGATTTAAAGGCTGGAGGTGGGTGAGCCTGCAGAGGCTAAGAAATTGCGGTCAAAGAGTTAGTAGTAAGTGTGTGTGTAGAATCACAGATGCTAATGGAAGACTGTTGATGATGAAAAACTAGTCAATATACTAGATGCTGCTGAGAAGTTGAGGACTGGGAAATAAGCGCAGGATTTTGGAATATGAAGGTCATTTGGTAAGCAAGTGTGACCTCAGTAAGAAACATTTCAATAGAATAAAGGTTGTAGAAGTCAAAAAACCGACTGGGTGGAGGAATGGGATGGAGAGAGCCAAAGTATCCAGAAGTTTTTAGAATAAAGTGGAAAAAGTAGGATGGTAGCTGAAGGAGAAATGAGGTACAGAGTGGTTTCTTTTTTCTAACAGGGGTGTCTTTAGCATGTTTAAACACTGATGAGAATTTAGTAAAGTGTTAAAAAGTCAGGGATTCCCAAAAAAGGAAGGACTGGGATTCAGGGCATTGGCCTTAAAAATGCTTGCCCTTTTTAGACAGAAGAGAATGATGTAGACTAGATGGGTGACCAGATGTTTTGGAAGTTCTCAACTGACAGCTTCTACTTTTGTCTATGAAGACGTAAGTAGCTGCAGAAAGTAAAGAGACTGATGGTGATGGGGGCGGCAGAGGGCTAGTAAGAGGCTTGAGAATATTGGTTTGAAATGCTTATTGCAGCGAGGACTGGAAAGGTCCAGTGGGATTTTGGGGCTCAGACCCCATCTGAAATTGGTAACCATGAATTCATAGTGATATAAATCGGCTTTATAGTTGTTTCCTTGGGTGGCCTTTAGCTGTCCTAATGCAGGCACAGACAAATGTTTCATTTTATCTAAGCATCCAAAAAAGACACAAGAGGTAAGGAAATGCAGCCTATTCCAAGAGAATCACTAGAATTTAAGCTGGATAGGAATCTAAAGAAAAGGTAGACACAATGGCCTGACTGTTCCCAGTGAAATCAAAGAATGATAGTAGAGGAATAATTAAATAAAGTGGAAGGAATATGGTCAGTGAATAAGATATAATAGTACAAATAATAGTGTTTTGAAGATGATAGAGCAGTTTGCATTGAAGACACTGGCCAGGATATAACTATGGGAGTGGGCACCTAAGAAAGTGGAAATCATTGGAGATTGTGTCAAAGAACTAAAGAGACCAAAATATTGAATGAAGTGTGCAAGTAAACATTAAGTATTTTTGAGAGAAAACATTAAGTAGTGGGTAAGAAGACCTAGGGCTAGCTATTTAGGGGAAAGTAGAACGGTAGTTACTGAGGACAAATAATGAGGTTGAGAGGATGGGATACTTGAATAGCCTCAAAGGAATCAGACTTTGCAAAGTAGTGGACAGTTATGTTCTGAAGCCATGATGGCAGGAACACTAACCCTGTTTCGAATATGACTGTGATAAAGGGATAAAGTTTTGTCAACATTTTTCATTGTGCCAATGGCTCCTGCATTATCACAAGACCTGACGGCAAGTTCAACAGATGGAAGATGGATAGTAAGACAAAGGTTCTAAGTATGAAGAGAAAAGAACCAGGACAGAGAGACTGGAAATTTAAGAAAGGGACTAATTGATGAAATCAGACTGAGGGACGCTTGTTTTTCCATGCTTGGGGACAGGTTTGGTGCAGATGAGTAAGCAAACTGAAGCTCTGGAAGTTCAAATGTTCCTAGCCCTTCTCAAATAATTATTAAGTATGTGATGTGCAAACACAAATAATTGACAATCATCTGAAGTTTACTGCAAAGACACTCAAAAATGATGATGTAGACAAATCCTTCCACCAGCAGCACAATATCCTGGGTCCCTATTTCCCTGTCTCTGGGAATTGGGAAGTTCACAAGCTGTTTTACCTGCATTTATACTTTCCAAGGAAAGAATTATATTGTGTAGACATGAAGCCAATCAGTAAGGAAGTTCCTAGTAAGCAACTTTTACTTTCTAATAAATTTTTCTGGTCAAGATTTGTTCAAGAAATAGCAGCTAAAAAGGCAAAAAATGCCACTTTTTTCAACAGGTAACTCTATGATATACTTCTGGTACATTCTGGATTCTTGCTTCGTAATCTGTTAATTGGGGTATAATACCTTTAACTTGTAGTTATAAAGACTAAGGTAAAGCATGACATATACCAACATCAGAACCTATGCAAAGTAGGGGCTCAATAGACTTTTTTTTTAAAAAGATTTTACTTTATTTATTTTTAGAGGGTAAGGGAGAGAGGAAGAGAAACATCAATGTGTGGTTGCCTCTCGCGTGTCCCCCACTGGGGACCTGGCCCACAACTGGGAATCGAACCAGCGACCCTTTGGTTTGCAGGCTGGCACTCAATCCACTGAGCCACACCAGCAGGGTCAACAGACATTATTTTGAGAGGTAGCCTGGTATAATAAAAGGAACATGGATTTTAAAGTCAGATCTGTAATTTTAATGCAGGGTCTGCTATTAGAGAATTCCAATCTCCTGATCTGTATAAGGGAGAAAACTGTGTACTTTGTGGGTGGTCGTAAGAAGTTATTTTTTATTATTGTGGAGACCAATGTCTAAGAGCTTCCATTTCCTCTGCAAAACTGCAACATGGTCACCTGATCAGGTGAGGAGGGGGATTAAAGAGAGCAGTCACTATGTAAGTCACTACAAGGGTGATTAAGGACAGTGACCAGACTAGGAACCCACAAAGTGTTGCTCAGTGGTAATGAGGGCTGGATTGAGGTTGAAAACCTTAACACATACAGCTGTGTTTTTCTCTAGCTGTTTGAATGGAGTAACAGAAAAGATTAAATAGCTAGAATGATACAAAAAAAAGACACAATGGCAGCAAAAAATGGGGTGGAGTGACAGGTCATTCACACAGCTGAATGCAGAAGTAAATTCCACAAAGGGGTGCACAATAAAAAGAATGGCTAAGCTGGAATTAGAAATCGCAAAGCAGGCACACTGGGAACAACATGGGGTAGAGGGTGGAAGAGCTGGAATTAGGAAATTATAAATAAGCAGTGAGATATTTAAGTAACATTGAAGAGGTCCTGAAGATTTTGCTTTATCCCTTCTTTTCTATAACCACCCTTATCTACGTCTCCTTTGGGGTTCTTTCTCTCAAGTCTGACCATATTGCAGAATACGGTCCCCCAAGTTTCTCTCTTTCTGACTGCCCCTGAAGACAAGCACAGAGAACTTCTTTGCTTAAAGGTTTTACTGATCATTCAGGATAGAAAACAGTAAAAAAGTAACAACTTGGGGAAATGGTTAGTTTCAAAACACCCCAGAATTCTTATAAATTTCATCTGTTCTGGATGTAGTCCCTAAAAACCCTGTGATTTCTTGATGTGTTTTCCTCATATATCTCTTCCTATCCTTAAATATGGCAGAATTACTTCTTATAAGGCACAACACACACACACACAGAGTTATGAATACCTGACTTACATGTGAGCCAGTAAAGTCAGACTGAATTAAGTTAATGGCAGCTAGACAAAGCTCCCAGGTCCCTGCTATCTGGCCAGGAACCACCTCCTGCTGTGATTACCAACCTTAAAACTGTACCCACAAACCTTGCCTTAACCAGGTGCCTGGGAATGAATGCTGAGGTTTTCCTTCTACACAAAGAAGACAATTTCCCTGCTGCTAGGGTTGAAGACAGCAGGTATGCACTGACATAATAAAGTGGGCAAAGCTTCCCTGCCCAGAACATAAACCAAAATAGAATAAAAGCGGGTTTATTACTCCAGGAACAGGAGCAACAGTACCCAGCTCTCAGGCAACTCTTCACTCTACATGTACAGGCTGCGCCCAGCTCCAGGTCCACGGGCTCCTTCAACGTGAGGGTCCATCCAGTGCCTCCCTTCTCGGGGCTGGGGATGGCTAACTGCCTGATGGTGAGTTCCCGGGCTGTTCAGCAACACCTGGCACAGCTGAGGCAGCCTCGTAGTCTGCGATGCGGCGCTGTACCAGGGCCGGCATGAGCTGCACGTATGCGGCCATGAGGCGGTGGTTGGAATGGATCAGCTTCCCAGCACAGCTGTGCAGACAGGCCTCCTGGAAGGAAGACAAGGTGGAAGCGGAGGCCAAAGGTGTCCTATCAGGTCCGTCTCCTTCCTTCCCATCCCCAGCCCAGGGGCGGGGGTCATGGAAAGACCGCGGCCAAAGGGAAGGGAAGTGGTGGGGAGGTGAACAGTCTACGGTTAACTGAGGAAGAAGAGTAACTCCCTGCTCGGTTCCCCACCTCCTCAGCATCCAGAGCTCGGTGGTGCAGGCTGGGCACGCAGCGCTGGAAGCAGAGTTCCGTCATCCGATTGTAGACCAAGAGGAAGTCCCGCAACTGGGAGAGAAGGGAACCAAGAACTCAACGACAAGGGAGCCCACACCTCAATTCCAGGCCGCGCCGCCTAGACGTTTCCCAGGACCGCGCACCACAGCCCAATACCCCCCATCCCTTGGATCCCTGCGTCTCCGGGGTTCGTGCCGTGCGGACGGGGATACGAGCTGAACGTAAGTTCCCGAAGCTACTTTTAGCTGCTACTCACATTCCTCAGCTGCTGCTGCTGTTGCTGCTGCTGCTGCTGCTCCATCCGGCCACTAGCGCAAGCCAGACCTCACTTCCTTTACAGCTTCTCGGTAACGCCCCGGAAGTAATCTCTCAACGGTCCCCAGGGACTGAGAGAAGGAGCTCAGGAAGGATCGCCCTGCCCCCAGCTTTAATATCACTTCCGCCCTTATAATCTGCGACGTGGCCGGCTTCTTCTGCCCGGGAGAGGACGTCACTTCCGCCGATTCCCTGACCTGCTGCTAGGATCGCGACGGGAACTGGAGCCGGAGGTCCCCGCGCGGCCCGGGCCTGGCGCCCTAAAGGGAAGAGCGGCCCAGCCCGAGGTGAGAGGGGCATACTTGGTCCAGGGGAAATTGAACGCATGAACCTGCCCTGAGGGCAAGATACCTCTGAGATCAGGGGATGATGAGGACACACCTGATGCCCAGGTGTATGGGGTTGGGGGAGCTGGGAAACACCTGGGGAGAGAAAACTGATTTTGGAAGGGATCACCTATGTCCTGCGAAAAAGAGACTTTTCCCGGAGGCCAGGAACATACACAAATTTATTCAACCAAAGCCTGTCCGGGAGGGCCGGAGTAATAGAAGGTGCATGGGATGGAGGAGGGGAAGATCCCTTGAAGGAGAGGGGAAGAAACACCAAAGGAGTGTGAAAGACCAAGCGGTGGATAATATACCTGAGCCCTAGAAAGGGGTTCATCTCCTGGTAGGGAGAGTCACCTGCATGGGGATAAGCTCCAAGAGAATACAGACTTTATCTGTCTTGTTGTTCACTGCTATATTTACATAGCCTCAAATAGTGCATGGCACATAGTAGGTACTCAGTATCTATCGAATGATTGAATGCATGAATGATCACCTGAGTCCTGGTGGGGTTGGAGGGTCGTGAAAAGACACCTGAGGCCTGGGTGTGCATGTGTAAAACTGTGCACCCTGGGAGGAAGAGATGCATGTATTATTACCTGAGAAAAGATGTGGTAGCCAAACTCCAGAACACTCCAGCTCTGGGGCGACCTCTAAAACCTCAGAAATGGTGGGGGAGACTTTTCTTTTCTAGGGCCTTGGCCAGTTTCCAGCACTGTCTGTGTTGGGCTTTGCAGGGCACTGGGGTGGAGACATCGACTCCAGTCCCTTCCCTAGCCATGACGGACGGGATCCTCGGGAAGGCGGCCACAATGGAGATCCCCATCCATGGGAATGGCGAAGCTGGGCAGCTGCCTGAGGATGATGGGCTGGAGCAGGTGCTTCTGTTTGATTCTTCTCCTTCTTGTTTCAATTTAGGAATCCCAACTTATAAACCCTGGGCTCTCTATTCTAGTAGCCTTCCCTAACTTACCTAACTCCCTTCAATCTTTTTACAAATCTTCATTCTGATTCTGTGCAGACTTCCCTTGTGTGCTCTCTCTATGATGCTTCAATCCAAGCTTGTTCTCACTCCCAAAATGCTTCAGCTGCCCCTATGTTCCTGAAGCCCCCCTCTTCTCTGGCCTATAGGACCTCCAGCAGGTGATGGTGTCAGGACCCAACCTCAATGAAACCAGCATTGTGTCTGGTGGCTATGGGGGCTCTGGCGATGGACTCATCCCCACAGGTATGAATGATCAGAACAGGAAGCTTGAGTGGAAAGGGGGAGAGGGATGGTTCTGGGGGCATAGGATGTCTAAGAAAGCTTGAAGTACCTCTAGGGGTCTTGGAAACCTCTGGTAGTATGAACCCTATGAACGCTCATCACCCCAAGGCCAGTTCCCAGGCTTGTCCAACTGCTGCCATTTGCCATTTCCCCTTTCTCTGCTGCCACCACCTGAAGCAAGTTAAGAAGTCTGTTCCACAGAAGTTCCCCATGCTCTGGAGCTTGATGCTGATTTGGAACTTCATGAGCCTTTTCGGTTTTACTTTAGACTCTAAAGTTTAGAGGAATAAACAGACCTGAGTCTCACACTGAGTAGGATTCCACATGGGAATGTCAAGCAGGTTTCCTGTTATCAGGACTCACCGTCCTTGACCACCCACCTCACACTCAGTGTATTTCCTTCTGTTTCCTCTGCCCCTATACACCAGCAGCTCCCTCTTCCCTCCCCCTCAAATCCCCACCACCACCTCAGAAGGAGGCCGTATGTTTATTGGGATTTGCGTCTCGGGGCATAAGATATGAGTTCCTCCTAGTGAGTAGGAGAATCTAATCATCTCTAGCTTTTGCTCCTTCAGGGAAGTCATTTTCAGGTGCTGGGAGGGAAGTATGGGTGGAACCACATACTTCTGAGAGAGTCTGGTGTCAGAGAACTTGGTCCTTTAGGGTCTGGCCGCCATCCATCTCACAGTGCCACTCCTGCCGGCCCCGGAGATGAGGTGGCCCGAGGCATCGCTGGAGAGAAGTTTGACATCGTCAAGAAATGGGGCATCAACACATATAAGGTGGGATTCAAGCACCTCTTCCTTTCCCCAAACACCCCCTGGATACCTTCTTCCCTTTTCCCAGACACTAATATTCCATCTACGGCTAAGACTAGGAGCCCGGGTATGCTGGGGTAGATACTTGTGGGGGCAGTGTGCTAGGGTTTCTGACTTGTTCCCCCACTTCCCAATCAGTGCACAAAGCAGCTGTTGTCAGAGCGATTTGGCCGAGGCTCCCGGACTGTGGACCTGGAGCTAGAGCTGCAGATTGAGTTGCTGCGTGAGACGAAGCGCAAGTATGAGAGTGTCTTGCAGCTGGGTCGGGCACTGACAGCCCACCTCTACAGCCTGCTGCAGACCCAGCATGCACTAGGTGACGCCTTTGCTGACCTCAGCCAGAAGTCCCCAGAGCTTCAGGTGCCTCAGCCAGGCCAAAGAGGGTGGGGGGACTGGGCCCAGGCCCTCCCAGGCAGTCACCCCTCAGCCTCCCTCCCTCCCTCCTGCAGCCCAGAGGGAGAACCCCTCCAGGGTGGGCCCAGCCCTGCCCCCAGCAGCACTCACCTGTGGAGGCAGCCTAAGGGTTTGTACAGAGGTCCAGAAGTTGGAGGGGCTGAGGGAGGTGGCACACAAGGTGCCTCACAAGTAACCCTTCTCTGCATTGGTGAGAATGCCTTTGATGCTCAGCCTAATCGGAGCCCCTCCCTTGCCTGCTGCACTAGCTTTCTCTGTTCTAGTCCTGTGAACTTATCTGAGAACCCCACCCCACATTCCCACCCCAGGCATCCCCACGGTGGCCCCACTAACATTCTGGCTAAGAGCCTTACTGAAGGCAGTCCTTGGTTGTTTCAGTTTTGATGGCTGCTTTCTCCCTGGGGAAGAGGGGGATGAAGGGCCCTACAGCTCCAGTCAGGTAGGGACTCTTTCTTAAGGACTGTCCCTCCCTTCTGCCCTCAGGAGGAATTTGGCTACAATGCAGAGACACAGAAGCTGCTGTGCAAGAATGGAGAGACACTGCTAGGGGCTGTGAACTTCTTTGTTTCTAGCATCAACACATTGGTCACCAAGACCATGGAAGACACACTCATGACTGTCAAACAGTATGAGGCTGCCAGGTGTGGGCACTGGCAGGGCCTAGGGTTTTGGGAGTTGGCTGGCTTGGGTGGAAGTTTGAGATTAGGGACATAAGAATTAAGCAAGGAAAGGAGAGTGTGGAGGACAAAGGGGTGGAGATGAGCCTATATCACCCCTCCCCAGGCTGGAATATGATGCCTACCGAACAGACTTAGAGGAGCTGAGCCTAGGCCCCCGGGATGCAGGGACGCGTGGTCGACTTGAGAGTGCCCAGGCCACTTTCCAGGCCCATCGGGACAAATATGAGAAGCTGCGGGGAGATGTGGCCATCAAGCTCAAGTTCCTGGAAGAAAACAAGGTGCAAACCCCACCCCTCTGACCCCAGCCCACTTTCCCATCTGTAACACTGACCTGCCCCATCACAGCCTAACAAAGGAGTGGGATCTTCCCCTAGCCCCCCTCAACCCTTGGACCTTGCCAGGTCTCCCTCCTTCTACCCCCTGGCCCTTTTCTGTTGAAGAATTGGCTGCTGGTCCCAGGATCATGACAGAAAAATCACGCCCTGGGCTGCGGTATCAGAACCCCAGGCCCAGCAAATCGAGTCAGGGTTTCTCCATCAGATTGACCCTTTCTTTGACTTCCTTGGTGGAGTTCAGCCCCCACCCCAAAAGCACCGTCAGAGAGAGTCCATGCACCCCTGGTCTGGGCTCAGGTTCAGCCCCTCAAGAAGGGCATCTGAGTCCAGCCTCAGCTGACCCTCTGGACCCCCAGATCAAGGTGATGCACAAGCAGCTGCTGCTCTTCCACAATGCTGTGTCCGCCTACTTTGCTGGGAACCAGAAACAACTGGAGCAGACCCTGCAGCAGTTCAACATCAAGCTGAGGCCTCCAGGAGCTGAGAAGCCCTCCTGGCTAGAGGAGCAGTGAGCTGCTCCCAGCCCGACCTGGCTATCAAGAAGGACACTGGGAGGGGCAGTCCCAGGGTGGGGGAGATCGGACATGGGATATCCCTTGCCACCTGCCCGCTGGCTTGGGCTCCTTTTCCCTGGCTGGGGCTTGACACCAATTTGCCCACATTGCTGTGGGTAGGGAGGGGGCCTGCAGGCCCAGCAGCTGCTGCCCTGTCCCTTATCTTCCTGGACAGTGGGCTTCATTCCCAGATATTTTCCTTCCACTCCACAGCCAAAGGCTATGACAAAACTACTCCCTGGCCAATGGTATCACTCCTCAGGCCTATCCCCAGCTCTTGGGGTATGCCCCCTGACCAATGGCAGAGCCTCAAAAGGCCCTGTCAGCCAATGGCAGCTCTTCTTGGGCTCCTCTGGGCCAATGATGTTGCCTCCAATACCCTTTGTCCCTCCTCTATGCGTGCCCATTGCAGAGAAAGGGACTGGGACCAAGGGAGTAGGAAAAATGGGGAGACCCATTGCTGACCCTGCATCTGAATGGGCCTCCCCTCACCTACCCACCCAGTTTAATTGTGCTTAGAGCCCTGGAAGATTGGGACCTAGCACTAGGAATAAACCTTTCATAAAAGCAGGCCCAGTGAGGTCAATTTGTGGGGGACTCTAGGAGGGTGGGCTGGGTGGAGAAATGCT